GTGTGTGTGACCACTGGAGAAAATGCAGTTGCATAGGTGTGAAGTCTCTGGAAAAAGATGATTATTTGCAGCACCTGCTTTCCTGTCAGAAACACTTATTTACTGGGCAGTGAACCAGTCCCTGTCCTTCCTCCTTGGAATGTTCTCAGTACGCATTGACACTGTTCACAGGGATGTGAAAGGCTGATTTTTGCACATTATGTGCATTACAGCAAGTAAAAGTATGAATGAGGCAACCAGGTTTCCAGTATAACACTGAGGAACATTGGAAAGTGCTGAAAGGTGACACTTAACCTTTACTCTGAAGACCTGAGCAGAGTTTATTCTTCTACAATGTGGTGGTGCTACTCACCCTCCTTATACTCTGGGCCAGCAGTGTCCAGGCCCTCTCCCACAAGATAGGAGCACCGCTTTCAACTCTCCCTCACTCTGTGGGATTTATCTTGAGCAAATTCACCATTTTTAAGTCAGAACTTCAATGGCAAGACACTTAGCTGCTCAGGGCAGCAGCTGCACTTGCTCTCCCTGCTGAAGCTGTGCCAATGTGCAGCAGAGAAGCACGGCTTGAGGCACAGTGGTGTATCTAGTTCCTGCACCACCCAGCCAGCAGAGGTGCAGTGTGGGTTACTGCCTCTGTTGCCACTATTTTCACCATAGCTGATCTAAAGACTTCACTAGTTCAAGCACAAAAGGTCCCTCAGAGCATGAGGAGCAATAGCAAAGCCCTTTCTCCCGGGTGGGTGCCTCAGTTTTGCAGCTGCAGACTCAGAGATGTGTTTGTGTATTCTTTACCTCTTGGAGGTCTTTAACTCTTGCATCTACCCTTCATCCTTGCCCTGAATTTTCCATCAAGTCATTGGAGTTGTAATGATGGTAGGGAGGCACAGATTTACACCATCACGTGAGCAGGCATCCATGTCTCTCTCTGTGGGCTGTGTTGTCTCCAGCACAGCAGGAGAAGCCCATTGTGGTACACATCTTTCCTGACTAAAATTGGGTTGTCCTTCTGTTTCTTGTCCAGCAGCCAGTTAAACCTCTGTGGGTCTTGTGCTGAGGATGGGTTTGGTCCTGTCTGCACGTAGCGAGGGTGTCCAGTGGGATGTTCTTTCAGCACCACTTGGAATCAAGTGAATTGCACTCCAGGACTCTTCACGGGCTGTAAAAGGTGCTGACAGTCTTCAGAGTTAGGGACTTACCCCTCAAACATCAAAGGTAGAACAAATGTGTCGCATCTAAAGCAATTTGTTGCATTTTTAGCAGAAACCCTGTGTCCCACTTCAAATCTAGTCATGGTTTGGTTGGGGTTTTTTTTCCATAAGAAAAGCACCGTGTGCTTATAATTTGGTCTTTGCCAAGTTACTTGGTCTTGAAAAGAAGTGCTCTGTAATAAGGTGCATCATTAAAAAGAAATTTTTCTGTGAGCAGCAGAGCCTGGTTTCCTGCGGTTTGGTGCCTCATGGTGGGATTATGTTGCATCTAATGAGGAGCACTCTGGCTGAAGCCTTTTCTCCTGTTCATAAAGACACTGTCTCATGTGAGTTCTCTGGTGTCTATAATCCATTTGGGATCAAACTGCCATTGTTTAGGTTCTCTCCTGTCTGTCAATGTAATACTGCCCATGTGGCCAGCTGTTCCGCCCAGGAGACATGAAAGGGTCATGCTGCTCTACCCTGATGCCTGTTCTCTCAGAAATGATTGAAAATTAAAGCATTTGAGAATTCCATCCCGTAGTTCAATTTGACTGAAATTGGCCAACAGGATAAAAGATAATTGAGAATAATACTGGACTGACACAACAATATAATAAATCTAATTTTATTAGGTAATTGGGCAATAAATGGTAGAAAGTAAATACCGGAGCAGTTTTAACATGGAAATAACTGTTCATAAATATTTATTCAAGCATTTAAATACACTCAAGGTGACCATTTTTTGCCTGTTTTGCATTTCAATTTTAGCATTTCAATTCGCAGCCATATGAATGACCAACAAGAGCACAAACACCCCGATAGTTACACCCACACCTCAAAAATAAATGTAAAATCATATTTTTATCTGGGACTTTTTTTGAAAAGTGACAAGGAATTATTGAACATTTCTTTCTAAATACTACAGATTTAAAATTTTGAAACAGGATGATCAAACAATTCAGAAGCCAGATTTTGAAAATGATTCTTACCAAGTCAAAGAATAAAAATAGATCATGTGGTTTGTACTGAGTTTCCAGAATTTTCAATAAACCTGAAATGAACAAAGTTAGACCAGAAATCCTTTGTTGAAGTGGTTTCTGGAAATATTTCAGAATTGTGAGTTATGAAAGGGAATTCATAATTATATGCAAACACACAAAAATATCGTATAAGTTGCTTATTGTAATTTATTTTTCCATTTCCAGAGCTATAGAGACATGCTTGCCATAAAAAGATTTTTGAAGATATTTGTATTTTCTTACCTTGGATGCAGTTTAGATGGATGAGCTACCATTGTTCTCCATGTTTCTCAAATTAGGAGAATGCATTTCTAAATTCAATTTCATCCTCAGTGGAAATGGTTTCTCTTACTCTGGTAATCTTTGGAGAAGAATTATACACAGCCTATAAAGCTTCAAATTTCAAAACCTAATTTTGAATGTTAGTCAAGAGGTTAATTTAAGATTCATCTTCCAAAAGCGGAGTTAAATAAAACTGATAGAAGGCTGGAACCTGTCAAGTGGTTGAGAGGTTTATCAGCATGTGAGTATGAGTTCATTAGTTTTAATTAGTATAATCACTAATTTTGCATTAACAGTTTGGTGAGAGAAAGTAATTGCTCACACCCACTGCATTAGATTGGGAGATTAGAATTCATTTTATGAGGCAATTAGCATTTCAGGAATTTTTTTTTAAAAGGCTTTTATGATCTGCCATTGCAGTAGCCTCCTTCACCAAAGAGTTTAAATTAACCATAACTTTCATCCTAATGGGATGCAAAAATTAATGTAGAATTAAGTGTGAACCAGTAATCCCACTGCGATAAGCAGGCAGCTAAAGCCACAAACCTTGATTAGTTTATAATGGCCTGTTTTATTTCCCAGACAATGATAGCCATTTATCTGTCCTCAATTCATTATCTTCTCAAAAAGTTTATATTCTTGAATTTTATACAGCAAAACAAATAAAATATGAGGAAGGCAAAAGTAGAACAGTACTACTGAAGTAATAATTGTCAAAAGAAAAAACTGCAAGTTTCAATAGTAAGTTAATTTGTCAATTATTCTTCATATCAAATGCCAGAAAAAGAAGAAACAGCTCCCTTTGACATCCAGTGCCTTGGGAAGAGCCATGAATTTCACAGCAACAGCAATCACAACCCTACTCTATCCATCATAACCTTTGGCAGCTACTGACACAATGAGAATGGATGGAATTGTCATCCTGGTTGGCAAGGAAGCCCTGATCTGAGATTTAGGACAGTTTACTCAAGAGATTGCCTTCCAAAACATCCTGTAAAGAAATGCGCATGTTCTGCTGGGAAAAACTGCTTACAGCAAGGCTGTAATTAACGTTTTCATGGTATCCATAACAAGACAAGACAACACACCCTTTGCAGCAAATCTGCCACCCATTATATGGGATTACTCTTGCCCCTGGATAAAACAAATCTCTGCTCAAAAATCCCAAATCTGCTATGAATTGGATGGGGCATGGAGGAGAACAACTGTTAAATGTTACAACTGTAATGTAGTTCATGCCATTTTGGGTACATATATTAAAATAAGAGGGTGTGGGACACTATTTAGTGAATTGCATTAATCTTCCTAGGGCATATGTTAAAGCGAAGTGTATATATATATAGGTATGTACTGCTGTAAGGGACGTTAATGGATGTAAGAGATGTACTTTTATAAGAGGAGTTCAGCGAGAAAAAAATGTTTAAACAGCTAAAATTTAGGCACAGCTAGGCAGACTGGATCTCAGTCTCTCTGGCATCAGCTGGTGTCACCTTTAGAAGCTGAACTACTTCAGCTAAGATCTGAGTCCTGCACTCTAAGGGCTGCCTCACTCTACAGGCTGCAGAGGCAGTCCCAGGTAACCAGGTTTTTGTCTTGGGTGGGTGAAGTAAATACTTAAAATTGGGTAAGATGAATCATGACCGGCATGCCTGTGCCTTAGGGTTTGTCTATGCACACAGTTACTGTGGAGAGACATTACTCTTCCTGAATAGGATTACATGTGAGTACACTTTCGGCTGAGTGAGACTTATTTCTCTTCAGCAATATCCTCTTGAGAGAGGCAGAACAGTTTGCTTTTTAGTCCTCACGTGGAATTCTTCTGCAAGAGCTGCTGCCTTTTTAGTGAGCTGCCCTACCTTAATCCAAATTTACTTTAGTATAAAAATGCCCTCAATCTGCCATCCAAGCACCTTTGAGAGCAATTTAAGATTTATGGTAGTAAGAGCATCAATTAGGCACAAATACATTGACCAAAAAAATAGTGACAGTATCATATACAATAAAAACTGACATTTATTTCACAAATTATGGGTGTAATAAAGCCTATTGTTTCAGGAAAAATGCCTGTATTTGCCCGTATGTTTCATTAAAGAATAATAATGCCATACATATTTCATTCCCTTGTTCTGAGCAGCAAAACTCTTAACTATATAAAATGCCCCATGCTGTCCTTGCTTTGTTGAGTTGTTCTTTCTTTTTAATCAGATTTTTCCCCCTGAACTAATGAAATTGCTCCTTAAACACATACATCATTTTCATTTGAAGTGACTTATCATGGCTCAAACAGTTTGTCTGTTCTCCTGGAGAAAAAGGCAGCTGCCATCTCCTTGTGCTGTGCACATGCAGGTCAGGACTGCGTCTGATCCCCGGTGTGCTGCGTTCTCTGAACCCCCACTGGTGCTGCTTTAGGTGGAGTATGGGTGGCTGATGACTGTGGGGTCTGTGCCTTGCACATCTGCACTGGTTTCTGGTCCACGCGCCCTCACATTTAATTTCTCTCTTCCCATAGTATGCACCGACCCGCTGTGCAGCTGTGCAGGCGTCCACAGAGCAAGGCATCCTTCCTCCCTGCCATCACCACGAAGCAGTGCATGACCCCCAGCTGGTCCCCTGCACGTGCCCGCTCTTCTCCTGCCCATGGGAAGGGCATCTGGAGGTGGTGGTGTCCCACCTGAGGCAGACCCACCGCATCAACATCCTTCAGGGCGCAGAGATTGTCTTCCTGGCCACGGACATGCACCTGCCCGCACCCACGGACTGGATCATCATGCACTCTTGCCTTGGCCACCAGTTTTTGCTGGTCCTCAGGAAGCAGGAGAAGTATGAGGGCCACCCCCAGTTCTTCGCCACGATGATGCTGATCGGCACGCCCACCCAGGCCAACAACTTCACCTACCGGCTGGAGCTCAACAGGAACCAGAGGCGCCTCAAGTGGGAGGCGACCCCCAGGTCGATCCTGGAGTGTGTTGACTCTGTCATTTCAGATGGGGATTGCCTTGTGCTGAACACTTCCCTGGCTCAACTCTTTTCTGACAACGGAAGCCTAGCAATAGGAATTGCGATAACCACCAGCAAAGTTCACAGCTCCGAAGCTGAAATGTGATGGGGAGGAGGAAGAGGAGGAGGAACAACAGCAACAACAATGGTGCTCTAGCTGCCTTCTGAGAGCCAGAACTCACAGACTTTTTACCGGGGGGTGGGGGTCTCGGGTCTTTTATGGTATTTAGTACTTGTCCACAGTGGGCATTATGTAAACATCCCGTGGTTACGGTCCCTGCGTCATGTATTTACCGTTTTGCTAATACAATTTTATGAGAAATTTTAAAGAGGCTAATCAATTTATTGTCGCCCTCCAGCAGCACTGGAAACAACACTTATTGATGAAAAGTGCACCCAGACTGACTGGCAGAAACCTTTGGTGTGACCATGCTATGCAAATATGTTTCCTTCATTGCCTGCCTAATGGACCAAAGGCCCCTGTGCCTGATGAAAGGTCAAGTATTCCACGGGACAAGAGCACCCAGGTTTCCATATTAGTGATAGTGGTTTAACTCCTGTATTTTGGGCACAGCCAAGCCCTGCGGGAGCTGGCAGTTTCTGAGCTCCCTTCAGCTTCTGAGGAAACAACCTTCTCACCCAAACAGTGAAAGCTTAGAAGATAAAGTCACTCCTCTGCTGAGCAGAGGGCTGGGAAGCCTCACTTTGCATTTAATTGGGAATGGCAGCTAGTGGTTGGTCACTGTGAGCATGGTTAAATCTCACTCTTGTATCATAAACAGCAGGGAGAGATTGCTAGATGGTCTGGCCATAGGATGAATATAACCATACCCAGCCATTGGGGTATTCATCTTTTTAGCTGCTGTTTCCTTAAGTATTCAAAACGAGATTTTCATAAAATAAAGCATAAGAAGGGTCTTAAGCTGGACACTGATCTTGCTACTGAATTCTGTGCCAGTTAGACCCTCAGTTTGTGCTGCTAAATATTGATGCACAGCAATACGAATAGGACACCTATTTGCAAATTGGCTTTGAGATTTGATAGGCACTTCTTTGAAAAAGACCTCAACAGTTTTTTGCCTTGCATACATTTTGTTGTGTGGTGGTGAGGGGTGACCATTGCTTTGTTCTCCTGAGGGTGTTTCACAAACAGAGATGGTCACAAAAAGACACAGGCTACTCTAGGAGCTTCTTCTCTTGAATTGTTCCTTGGGCGAGAGTTGGAGGCAGGTGCTGGCCATCTCTTGTCACTCATTCCCATCTGCAGTCAGGCCTGTTTCCTCCACAGCCTACAGCAGCAGTGAAATCCCACTGCAGTAGTGACGTGTTGAAGGAGGGGGCTCAACAGATAGTGTGACACATGAGAACCATGGGAAAGTGTCTTTTCCTGTTTTCCCTTCTGCCTGTGTGTGTCTGTGGTCTGGCTGCTCCCGAATGCTGTTTCAAGAAACATCTGGTGGGTTGGGTCAGTTAGTAGCTAGAGAGACTGAGGATCATAGTTTGAGCCCCTTGGAAAACCAAGGAAGGGGGGGGAAACAAGCTAAGAACAGTCCTTCAGTGTCTCAAAATGCATCTCACTCTAGCTTTGGGTAGGCAAAAACTCTTATGCTGATCTCTCCCACCCGTTGCTCTCCTGAGGATTACTATAAATGATGCATGACGTAAAATGAATTGTAGTTTTCCTGAGATGAATGCCATGCAGGTAAATGAGTTCTGAGGCATAGATGCACCTCACATCCTTACCTGGATTTTCACAGCAGGCCAGAGAAGGCTGAGGGTCTCTTCAACAGGCTGCTCATAACCACACAGTCTGAGGAAAACTCAGTCCCTGTAAGAAGGCACTGGAGCACAGCTTCCCAGCTCTCCCATCTCTGAATTTAGGGAGCCAAGGGTGGCACACTGATTTGCAATGCCTCACTGGAATGGGCAGGCTTCAGAGTGGCTGGCTTTTTCCCTGCGGTGTTAAATATTCAGGACTAGCAAACGCTGCCCTTTCCCTAAATGATAGCAATAAATAAATCATTGGTGTTTTTGTGGACTGAAACTGGCTTCTCCAGCTCCTCTAACAATTGTTCTGCTGCTGAATTAAAAAGAAGCAAAAGCAATAAAATCTCAATAAAACCAGTTCCTCTAGTTTAAACTTCCTGAGCTCTTTGTACAGTGGGGTAGAGACCAAATGTAATGATGCTTTTGTTGCCTGACCACAAGATCTAGGGTGAGGAATATTATTTAATTATTCTTTTTTTTTTTAGTATATTTACTTCTTGTTAGTTGGCACTTTTTTTCCTTGAAATCTCAACTGAAATGCAGGTATTTTGGAGCATGGCCCTTGCCAAAGGACCAGTGTATTTCTGGCAGGACAAGTGTGACAGTATCAGCTCTCTGGAATGGGTATCTCCACCTCTTGCCAGCACCCTAATTTTGAAGGAGGGATAGTGGAAATGTGACCTTCCCAACATAACCTTCCACAAGAAGAACACATCCCGTGTGTTCTTCTCCCAGAGCTTTCTAGTGACCACATCAACAGTTCAGCTTTTCCATTTTGTTTTCAGTCTTCTCCCCTCATCTGATAGCTGCCTTTCTCAGCCCATTTTCAAGCCCTCAACTCTGGTTTCACCCTGTGTCTTGCAGAGCCCATGGCACTTCTTACCTTCTCACATTTGTGCCTGTTGGATGCTGTTGTTTAAATCATTTTCACTGTGTTCTGAAGCCAACCAAGTAACCTCCTTTATCAGTTTTCTCCACATCTGCAAAGATCCAGCTCTGGCAGGGATTTCAGAAATTCAGATACATTGGAGTATTGAGGAAAATCTGCCCAGTAAGACTCCCAGTAAAGAAAAGGAAGACCTGTTCTGGGAAGAAATGAGATATGGTTGCCTAAATCCAGCTTTCATAAGTGTCTCAACATGAAGTGCAAATGTTTTAAGGTATACTTAAGGACCTTCTACCATAGAAGATATTCTAATTCCATCATAATTCAAAGCCTATGAGCAACCTTATACTGCCATAAAGCAAAGGTGAAGCAAATATTCTGCATGGTAGGACATAAATCCTAAAATACTGGCAAGTAGGATCAACAATGAAATCAACAAAATGCTTCAGTTTGCAAGCATTCTTTCAGTGCTCATGGTATAACAATTTTTACAGCTCTGCTTATGGTTGAAAGGGAGCTGAAGCTTGGCTTCCTAAATTTGATCTGAAATCAGGGCTTCTAAAACTAATTTTGTACTCTAATATTTTGCATCTTTACAATGTATTAAATCTGAATTCCTGCCTTCCTGTGAAGAACAGAGCCCCTTGCATCTCTTTGAAGTAAGGAAGTACCCTTCATGTGGTGCAGGAGAAAATGAGATCTTCCAAAATTGCTATGCAGCTGTTGCAAAACTCTGTTTTCCCAGATACCTGAGAGTGGTGTTCCATCTTTGTTTTGGTGGGGTTTCAGCTGTTCTTTGATTTTCTACATAGACAAAATATTGTCTTTGGATTTGTAGTTTTATTTTTAGGATTTTTATATATCTCTGTTCACAGATGGATTTTCTTGTGCCTAGTTTAGTAAATTACAACAATAATTTCATCAGGCTGAGACAGATGGATTGCTACCAGACTCACTAGAAAACCTACTTTGGTTCATCTGCACTATCCATCAGACACCATGTGAATGTAAATGTCAGATCTGCAGTAAAACAGCATTAGTGCTTTCAGCTCAATCCCATTATGAATTAAGCTCACATCATATATCCATGACTCCTTATAAATCAGCTGAAGCATCCTGAGTCTCATCGTCTTGAAAATGACAAAGAATCTTGCTGTGCCAGTGCTGGCTGTAGGGCTTGTTGAGAAGTAGGGCAGTAGTCAGTCCTCTTCTCACTGGACTTGGTATCACACCTCTGTTTCATACCATCCTTAGGAACGCAGCCCAGTAAACTACTGAAGGAACAAGAGGTGATAAATTCTGGACAGGTTAGGGTTATAGCAAAATGAGTCACAATATATTGCTGGATGCTACTGCATGGCTCTCTCTTTTGCGCATCAGAGGAACTAAATGCAGTTGACAGTACTGTAGTACAGGTGATTTATCTGTTTTTCTAGCCCAACACACACCTGACAAACACTTTAATTGAAGAAGAGTCTGTCAGAACAGACTCAGATGTGCTTCTTCTTCAAATGAATCAGAAACAGCTTCTCACATGGAAGAGCTGCAGATTTTGAACTGTTCAGACACAAGCATAAGTTTTTAATTTTTTTTAATAAACTCTGCCTGCTCACACCATCAGAGTAAAGGGCAGAAAACAAAGATTGCATGTGTCATCACCAGAACTCTTCACACGCAAATATGATTCACCTTCTGCAGAGATGAGCCTGCAGAAACAGAGAGGGTTTCACAGCAGGGTAGCACAGGGCAGCACCTGCAGGCTCCAGAGGCATGCACATAGGGCTGAGGGCAGAGCTCATCCTCCAGGCAGAAACTACTCAACAGGAACATCTCAGAGGGTGATCACAGCAGGGCTGCCAGGAAAGCGATTGGACCTTCTGGGTGTAGCAAACAGCAGGAGTTAAGGCTCTGTGTAGAGAGGTTTCTCTTCTCATCAGCACCTTCCACCTGGCTACAGGACCTCCCCTCTCCTGGGCACTTTGTCTCTGGAGCAGTGCAGCTGATCAGATCAGCTGGGTCTGCATGTGAATGGTCCTGCACAAGGATGCTGCATGGTGAGTGCAAACACCCAGCCCCAGTCCTGCCTGGCTCCTTTGGGTTTGGTGGGTACCCATCTACCTGCAGCTGCTAGTGATTCCTCCAGGTCCTGACACCCGAGAGTTCTGCTGTCTTTCACCTGCATAGCTCCCACCAGGGCAATAAAGTACTTGCTGAAAACCACACAAAAAATCTTTGGCAGAACATCACATTAAGCGTCTGCCTCATATTCCTGGCTAGGACTACAGGCAGTCATTCTTTCTCTCTCCACACAGGCAATAGACTAATGCATAGCTTTCTTATCTCCCTTTGGGCTCTGCCACTCCAGAAAATACATGTGAAAGATTGGGAGGCAGTGATAATCTTCAAGGGAATAATGAGGACTAACTTTCACTGCAAAGATGGCTCTTCTCACA